ATAAGCTCAGATATAAAAACAACAGATGAAACTCACCAAATAATCCATTGCTTTGCTATCCCAATGGTGTTCATTCAAAGCAGCTTCCAAAACTGCCGATTTTAACCTGTCGAATATTTCGTCACCTTCAGCTTTTCGTTGTTTCGCATCCGTTTCCACTTGTTGCTTGAACAGCTCCGACAATGTATCCCAGCCAGTCTGAAATCCTAGGCATTCACTCAAGGAAGCATTGTGAAGAGAAAATCACCACTATAATGAGAAAGAAATTATTAAATCGTCTAGTAATTTTATAGTAGAACATTTCCGACTATAACTTGGCTTCAAATTACTGGATTTAGCTATACGAACCAACGAATTTGCTCAGGCAAAAATTTTTAATTATTTTTTTGTAACTTTTAATTATTTTTTTGCAAATTCATATTCTCAGCTTTCCCTCCTCTTTTCATTACCTCAACCCTTTTAAATATCTTATCCTTCCCGCTACCTACAAAAACATCAAATCCCTCTTAAATTTAACCATCTTAATTCCGTTACCACAATTGTCGTACTAACGAGGACCAATTGTGGTAACGGTAAAAAATGTATATGACTTAATGGAATGAAACATTTCTTACCAATTTTTTAAAAAATTTTTTATAAAGATATTTTTGAAACTTTAAAAATTATGATTCTTTTTCATTTTTCTTAAAAAGGAAGAATTATGATTCTTTTCCATTTTCTCTTTTTCCTTTTTCTTTCTTTATTTACAGTACTTTTTCTTTAATTATCACCAAAAAAAACTTTCAAATTATCAATCGTCAAGAACAATGGGATAGCTTGGACAATCGGTGTGCGAATTTCACACTATAAATGCTACTAGGATGCTTCCAAATGCCAGAAACAGCTATGCCAAGCCCTTCGATTCTACGTTGCATACCTCCAGTTAATACCTATAACTCGTCCGATTTACGTGCTCCAACAGGACTCATTTTATTTAAATACATCATTTTAGCTTTTTTTCTTTAAACCAAATTTATTGGCAAACGAAAATCAAAATGCATCAATTCCCTAAAAAAGCATACTTCCAGAATTATGCAAAATCAAATTCTAGCTTCAAATTGTTGATGACAATTGATAATCATTGGCAAATTAAGCCCTTCTCTATTTTCAGTTACTCCTAGTCGATTCAACATCAGATGCTAAATTTATCCTCGGTATTTTTACGAGAAATTACAAAAATCGAAATTTCACCTGGATCGATTTGCTGGCAAGATCTTTATCAGCCCAGTGCTTCAGCTTGATATCCACCAAGGTGTTGAATGTACCGGCATTATCAACTGCATAAGCTGGCATTAGTATCTGGTCGAAAACATGGGCTGCAACCTGAAACATTCGTAAATTTAGTTGGAAAAAACGACGAAAATATAGCTCAACACTACCACCAGGTCCTAGATTATAAATATATTAGTGGTACTGAAATTTAGCTTAATTCCAGGGCAGGGCTCCTCTCCGCCGTAACTATACACAAAACTGTTCAAGTTCACATACTATATGCATTAAATTAGGACAATCATGTAGGAAACTTAAAAACCTCATCACTCACGATAACTTAGAAGTTCAATTGCAGCGTTAAACGAATAATTTCCAAATATTTCTTAAATTTTTTTTTCTTTAAAAAAACTGTTAAAGTTAAAAACATTTGTTTTTCTTAAATTTTTAAAATTAAAATTCTTAAATTCCGAATTCTCTTTTCCCAAATTCGAAATTAAATTAAAATTGTAAATCCTTAAAATTAAAGAAATTAAACTTCCTTGAAAAAATTCTTAAAAAAACAAATTTCTTAAAAATATTTCTTGAAAAAACCCCCAAAAAAATTTAAAAAATTCTCTAAAAAAATTTAAAAAAATTTTCTGATGCACACGCACTTTCTTTACGAACGTTCTAGAAGTTATACTAAATTTCAAACTGTACGAGATATCGCATTAACTGCCGATTACTGCCATACAGCCACAAGCATTCCTAAAATTTTACATAGTTAACGAATGATTTACCGCATTCCAAAGCTTTTTCTTCAGTACTTTTTCCCATTGTTCAGCTGGAACAAGCGAAAGATTGACTAGTTCGTCCAGAATTTCACCTTT